TATATATATATGTATAGGATTCTCTTATAAAATTATTCCAAATATAATAGAAACTTGCATTAGATATTTTGAATTTCATTGCTCATTAAATTTATTTGGAAAATGTACTTTATCTTATAAATACTCGTTGTAGAATAAAAAAATAACGTAAAAAAGATTCTGAAAGTAGATTAAAAACGACATATAATTCAATATATGATCGATAAATATATCTATTTTTTTTCGAGCATTATCCAATAAAGTACATTTAATAGACGTATATAATAACCGAAAATTAGATCGTTGATTTTCAAGACATGCATAATACATAAATGCTTAATGAATAATAGAAGTTTCGCTTCTAACGAAAAACCGATCTCTATGGTTAGTTGAGTCGAGACTAATTTACACGATTGCTATGATTCTTTATCTACATACGATTTTTGTATTTGTTGAATATCCTTAATCTAAACTCAATCGATGTTCAAATCCAGCTCATGCTTCATTCTCACCGTCAAGTTGATAATGATAACGTCGAAGTGCGGCTAGACGTAATCTCTCGGTTTCTAAAGCTTGCTCCAATTCTAGAATTCGCACTTGTGCCTCCATTTCGAGCCTTTTAGCTTGATGTAAACTTAGATTAGACATATCTAAATCTTCTGTAAAATTAAAATACAGGAATATATTAAGAAAATTAAGAATATTAAAAAACGGTACAAGACGTGGCATAATAATTTAATGTTTTTTCAAATCAAATACCATTTTCCTCAACAAGATGATTGCAGCTTTTAGCAGTCGCTACAACGTTCGCTGTAGCTTGAGTCACTTCTCTCGAAGCTTTAGAGAGTTCAGTCAAATTAGTACTATTTCTGTCAGCCTTAACTCTACTAGCAACTACCAATTGCGCGGTAGATGCCGCAATGCCTTGTGAGGCGACAACCAATTGCTCAAATTTGCCATTGCCTAACACAACTTTATCTGCTGCTTCTCTGTAATAACATGTATATATATATAATTACGTTTCGAAAGACTACAAGATAATTAAAGTTTAGTACTTGGCACTTACAATAAAAAGTTTGCGCCCATAGCAATCGCTTTTGCTGCCGAGATAAGACCCTCGGACCATTGATGATTACGTTTGTAAAATTCAGTAGCAGAGACAGTTCCCTAAACAAAATATTGTTAAGATTTCCAATTATAATATAACTTTATCAATTATTATTTATCTATTATTTAATATGTATACAATATAGCTAATATTTTCAAATAATTGTTAAAATAAGCTTATCATACCTTTCCCTGTTCTACAATTTCCTTCTGCAACAAGCGAGACTTCTGCACTAATTGTCTTATGCATTTCATTAGATCCGTGCAAGAATCCAAGATCTGTTCGTTTACTTTTAATTTCAAACCTGAGTCCGCCGCACGAGATTTATCCAACATATCCTATTAAAAGTAAATCGAAAAAGTTAAAGCTTATCTTCTTATTTTTTTATCGCATAAGTACTCTTATCATTAAGCACCTGTATTTTTGCAACCGTTTCTTCAATAGCTTTATCCATACTCTGCAACTCACTTTCTACTAAAGTCCCGACAATTTCCACGTTGTTCTGAGTACTTGATAATGTATTTATGAGAGACGAAATCTTTTGTAATTGACTTTTGACATTTGCAATTTGCGCACCGGTCATTGAGGACTTCTCTTTGATATAACTCAACATAATTAAACCTTGCGAACCTAACTGTTTACATTCATCGGCAAATCCTACAAGTGTACGGCGGGTCTTATAGAAAGCGTTAAAAATTATTATATTCCAAAATATTTTGTAACTTATTTTAGACTGTCCGATACAGCTATTATTATTCTTTTATCAATAATTTCCACGTTCTCAAAGTAATATCTTGCCCTCAAATATTTAAAGCATTATATCGCATATCACGCAATCATAAAAAAACTTACTGTCAGCTATACCAATATCTGTCGATGTGTTCGAAGTGGATTTTGCATATATTAGATAGAGAGCCAAAAAGTATGCACTATGTACAGCAGTACGAATTAGCACTTTCCCTTTCGTTGTATCAAGCATATAATTATTATATGCCTCCTCCAAATCATTAAATGATTTTTCTGTCGGCTCTAATAAACTTCCGAGATAATCGGGCGTGCATGTTAACGCCGATATGGCCGGATTATCGATCGCATGCATTGCGTGATGCAAGATAGATTCCGCTTCCGATATAGCATTCACTGAAATAAATAATCTTTTCTATTTCTGTATACTAATCTCAGTATAAATTTTTATTTAATATACATATTCATTACTCACATAGTAAATCAAATAGAGCCGTATTAGCGTCTGTTTTCACTTGATTATAGGATCGTTCGGCATCGGTTTCCAAATTTACTATTCGTAAATCTAGTTCTTCTTTTTGTACCAGTAAATCATGGAGATCTTCTTCCAAAGTTGTTTTCTCAGACGTAATAAAATCTATTTTTGCTATTAACGCCTACAATGACAAATAGTAACAAATATTTTGTTAACGTATGTGATAGAATAATTAGTAATTAAAGCATTCATTAAAATCTTAATTTACCAAATTTTCGGTTTGGACAGCATCGAGTTTCTTTCTTACATCCTCTAAATCTTCGCGTGCTTGCGCTACTCTCTGTGTTTCTTGTTCTGTCGACGCTTGTCCTTGAAGCAACTCTTGCAATCGCTCTTCCGCTTTCAATGTTCGACGTTCAGATTGCTCTCGTGATATCTTTATTCCTCCCAATTCTTTGTCAAGTTCAGCTTTCTTTCATGTATAATGTTATCGTGAATAAAATAACATGATAGATAACTTTTTTATCGCTGATATCTCAAATACATACCTTTCTGATTAAACTGATATGTTCTTCTCTCAGCTTTGAGTAAACATCCTTGAGTTTTTTAAACTTTTCCTCTAATACTTCATTTTTTCCTTGAAAGATTTAACAAGAACAAAATCATTGTCAATCATTTAAAAGAGTATGACAATTTTTAATAAATAATGCAATCATATAAAATCGTACAGAAATTATACATTAAAAATTATACCTTCAATTTCTTGAACTTTTGCTAACGTAATTGCGTTTTCCTTCATTAACTTCTGACAAGTTTGTTTTTCCGTTACAATTTCATTACTCTAGAATATTTGCATAGTATTAGTTTACGAAACAAAGTAAAATTATTAAAGTACGTGACAAACAGTTTACTTACTTTAGTAGAAAGAGTTGATTCCAATTCTAAAACGCGATTTCTAAAATCCGCAACTATTTGTTGATGGTCCATTAACAAATGATTTACTTCTTGCCTTTGACGAACATTTTCTTGATATAAGTGATCGATAAGGCTGTCCCTAAAAGAGTACATATAAAAGAATAGATACAAAAATAGTTATCGTGAGTGCTTTTTATTTAATGACACAAGTTGATACAATTGTTCTATTTTTCTTGACATTTTATGAGTAACAAAAAGAGACCTTACTTGTGTCGATTTATCATCAAATGGAATGCACTCTGTTTCTTATTTTTCAATTTATGTTAAATGAAACAAAACAGAAAGTAATATAGAAAAATAAAAAATGCCATACCTTTCCACAAGAGCATCAGGTGATATCGAGCCATTCCGTGTATTCACAGAATCTAATTGATCGCCCGTAAATGATCCCGTATCGGATGTATCAATAAGGTTTTCAATGGCAGTCTCAGAATCTATAGATTCTTCGGGCGGAAGTACCACTATCGGTGTGACATACGTTCTCAACTCGGCTTGTATTAAAAAGTTAGGTGGCTTCTAAAAATATATACGATAAATGTATAATGCACAAATTTTTTTATACCTGTATCAGGCTAGAGATTGAGATTGAGATTGAATTTGACCAATCAATGTTCACTAAACTTGATATATCGGTTTTCTTTTTTTTGATTGATTAAATTTAATCTCAATTCCAATCTCTAGTCTGATATGAATATTATTGTATTAATTAGTAATTAAAAACTTTACCTCAGGTAACGACGGAATTGCTATCAAATGTTTAAAATACTGCATATGTTTGATAGTATTGTAAAAGCTCTTCAGCTCATGAAATTGCTTTGAGAATCTATCGCGATGTCCTGTTAACGTGTCTGCCGGAAGCGCGCCGTGGAGTTTAAACAGGATTTTCACGCAGCAATCGTACAATTGCGAAGCATCCTGAATGCACGGAATTAAAGGCGCGAGTCGACATTGGCCGCATGGTGTCATCGAATTAGATCGTGATAAATCCAAAGAACCAAAAACTGCAAATACACACACACAGATCTCAATAAACGTGCTGTTCTATATAAAAAACTTATATCTCAAACAAAATAATATGCAATTTCTACCTTTCAAACAAATTAGGGTATATTAGTTTCAGGAACGCACTTTCAGCATTAATGCGCCATTTTATCTTTATTATTTATTAGACGAAAAATAAGAATAAAATGCACTGGTAGCGTTGAAAGCGCGCTCCCGGAATGCAACTTAAAGTTTATCATTTTGAAGTACCTGCATGCTGTAAATTCAAGATGTCATCCATATAATCAAACATTTCAACTGACATCTGAAAGCTAGAAAAATAACAAATTATACATATATGTGCCATCATATTTATTAATAAAATTATGAAAAAAACGTCACTCACTATATATTAATATCATTTTCTCCAATTGCTTCGAGCTCTTCCGGTGTTACTTGCAAATTCCCAGGTAAGCGTGGGTTCCGTTTATGATAATCTAATTTAGTTATTAGCAGTCTTGCATACAGCTGTATGAGGCGACCGTAGCCTTCTCTAAGATGTTGCCAGAGTTTTCCAATATCTTCCAACTTGCCGCGATACCGTTGGGAATCAACAATAACCCGAGGATGTCCCTCGCGCAGTACTTTGTGCAGGACATGACAAAATTTCCACGCGACGATCTGATTCTCCTGCAACGGTTGTCTCAGCATATACGTCCAGAAGATGCAGCCACTCTTCTCTCGATATGTACCAATAATGGCACCTATTCGTTCATAAGGAACTTTTACTTTTTCTTTCTCTCGATTATGTATCTTCTGGATATATATTAATAATAAATACTAATATATAATTGTATTCTGGATTAGAAAAGGATACTTCGAACATGTTTTTCCTTCACCGGTGTTTCTGTGGAGTTTACAGCCTTCCCAATGCTAATACTCTATAAACAACAAACAATCATATGTTTATGTCATAAAAATCAAGGATAAATAATTTCAATTTCACGGTCCGATATCTAAACAACGTTTTCTTGTTAACTTTTTTAAAAGGGACGCTCAGTGTCATCTACATAATTCCCAGCTTATTCAGGATATGAGATAATTGTGATAATCCGATGTATATAGTGCGATCTCTTGACTCACCAGTTGATGAAGCTGTTTATCAGTCAGCGGTATTGTGGTCATGATGATAGCATAATAAATTTAGATGAGGAAGAAAAGGATACGAAGGCGTGCGAAACGATACGCTAATTATCAGCGTATGCAGATCGCGGATATCGTTCGTCAATTCACAGATCGGCTAGTGTCATTTCCGTCGGATCATAGACCGCGGACTTTTGCAGCTGCGTATATTATCTGCGAAGCTGCAAGTTAAAAGTTAGCAATTATCACGTGTAAGAGAAGAGAATGGTACACCACACTTGCGTCATCCACGGAGGATGGAAATTCCGCGGGGGGCAGCTACTCGGAAACGGGGGAGCCCCCTTCCCGAGTTGCTTGACCTCAACAAGTGCGGGGTGCGGCGTACCTGAAGTCCTCGGGATACGGGCGCGGACTCCGCGCTCAAGTTGGTCGCTCTTTGCTCGCGATCCCTTCGCCGAGACAGCGGTGACATGTTCGCGCGATGACACACGTCGGGCCTATGTCCTCTCACGAGCGCGTCATTCCGCTCCACCCGTGGGTGTCGATGCCACCGTCATACGAGCGGATCTGCGGAAACGTGGCGATGGCTCGCCAACCTTTCTTTCTCTGAATTTTTTTTCTCTTCCCGTATCTTTCGTACGCGCCTACGACGATCAAGCGTTGGAGGAATGACAGTTAACCGATGTACGTATATATACTGTATATAGAGAGAGAATTGTGATAACAAATAACCACACGAACACGCCACACCGGAAAACCGTTTATGGAGTATATAGAACGTTCAACGCCGTACGAACGACGAATGTCACGATGGTGCCATCGAACGGCGGAAGAGATCAAATATTTCTTCGAGGAGTTTCTTTTACCGACGCGTTTTATATAATTTTAATTTTAAATAAATAATATAATAAAATGCTAAAAGCACATCTGTTTACAAATTTGTTTCATGTTTAAAAAAAATGTTAAATAATGTAAAAATCTAATTTAGAAAAATATTTGAAATCCTATTGCGCTGATGAAACAGAATGTATAATAAGACAAATTATTTACTAATTTTATGTTCATTCTTTTATATTTTACATTATATACTGATAAATATATTTCCAGGTATTTTGATTTTAAATCGTTAATATCAACCATTTCCAAAAAAAAGAAATAAATGGGTTCTTTCACATAATCGTTAGTTTTCATTAATGTCTATAAACAAATATTTGCTTAATTCTTAAGTTGTAGAACTAGAAGATATCATGTGCGTCTCTTACATTGTACTTTACAATGTATTAATTAAAGAAACAGGAAAGATAACATGTAACCAACTTTCCCTCAACAATTTTAACAGAAAACAAAACAGTATGTAATATACATATACAAGTACACAGCCATTTTCTATTATATTGTAAGCTTACAATAGAAATATCGTTATTATTTTATATAATATAATTAAATTAATATATCATAAATGCATAAAACTTAGTAATGTAATATAAATATGCAGAAACGATCGAATAAATTTAGAAATTGGAAACACTTTGGTGCTATATTATTGCAAAGTAATTGTAAAATAGATTGTGTAATGTATTGATAATTTTTGAATTTAAATAAGTTAACTGTAAGACGCACAACATCACCAGGTGCACAATAGATGCAGTTAACATAATTTATTCCTCACGAGCGATAAGTCCATTAATTTCTGGTTGAAGGAATTCTGCTACAATAGCCGATACCATTTCGCTGAGAATGCATTTCAATTTGTTTAAATCCCTAAAATATTAAAATGATATATTATATAACATAAAAATATCACATTTTTACAAGCAACTTTAAAAACAGGCTGTAGAATATACCATTAAATTACAATAAAGTACTATTAAAATTAAATAAAGTTAGATGTGACAATGAATTATATTCTTACAAATAATATTTGCGGAAAAACTTACTCTCCAGGCGACCCACATAATTCATTGTAATATTTTATTTTGGGTTCCGTGCCACTGGTTCTTAAAGTAGTAACTAAACCATTTTTGAATGTAAAGGTGATCATTTGGCTAGATTTTGATACAGGAAGAACTGCTTTATTATCAGGTTTTGTATTATCATATCCAGTTGTTAAGTCTCGAATGCCAGTTATTACATATTTTCCTTTAAGAATTCCGGTTGGATACTGCATTAAAAATAGATTACATTGGAAATTAATATTTATAAAAGGAAAAAGAAAAAACACATTAAAAAAAAAAAGAGTATTTTTCTTTTATATTATGCATTAATATATTGTTTTATTTATTATTACAGAAATGATAAAGGAAATATAAATAAATCTGTTTACAGCTATCATATTAACATCCTGATCAATCCAGTAATTAAAAAAACTTAAATATACTCTCTTAAATATACTTACACCATACTTTCATCTGTTTCTTCCTCAAGAAACGGTGTGAGAGGATATAATGATAATACTACTGGAATAAACAAAATGGCAAGAAGCACGGAAGGCAGTAATGTCAATGATATAACAATCACATTTACGTACTTGTTGTAAATAATTTTTTTTGTCATCTTAACAAGCATGGGCGGAGTATAAGAGAGAAAAAAAGATAATGTAATATTTTAAGCAAATTTTTTTAGAAATAATTTTGCTTGATTATATATCCCAAACATATTAATGCATTACGATACAATCAATTCATTAAGTATAAATATAATTGCACATCAAAGTATAAATCCAAATAAAGACGTTTTCTTAGGTAACTTTCAATACACACCACTATAAGTTTACATTGTATTTATTATTATTTTATCATAAGAACAACGATAAAGCGCCACTACCGACACAACTGTCACCTAGGATGACACATGCAGAAATACATCAGCGCGTCGGTTTTATTACACTTCCAAAGTGGTTAGTCAATTTATGCTACCTCATGCATCACATATACTTATTGACCTTGCGAGCACATACTATTAGATGCAAATTAGAATACATTAGTAGCGAACGAAGCAATGTTCGTTGTTACACTAGTAACAGAAAACTAACTTTATATAATCTGCCGTTATCTCTACATCAAATATATTTTTATATTACTAAGAAAGATATCTATTCTTGCTAATCTGTGATTAGACGTATATGTGAAATAGATTTTTTTACACATGTCTTAAGTGACAGTAATTACATACTATACAATATTAAATTTGTGAGTATTTATTTTATTGTAATTATTGTACAAATTTTATACACACACACAATTAATTATTTCTTTAAATATATTTTTTCTTGTATAGATATAAATCAAATTAAAATGCAAATTATGTAGGTGACAATTTAACACAAATTAGCATGCAAGCTGCCTTTTTAAACTTTACTTAAATAGAAGAAAATAATATCTTCTTAGAATGTAGTAATTAAAATAGTACTTACTGTATCCGATTTGCCCGAATAATTCCTTAACCGTTCAAATATCATCTTGATGGTATCTGGTTCATGACATATCCAATAGGAATTATCATTGATATGATAACCATATCTATATATCATGAAATAAATAGAAATTGTCATTGCATAAAATTTGTTTCAGACTTCATTCACATAAATGTAATGTAACGTACTCTTCATATATTTCCTCCAACTTATCAGATAAAGTCAATCCTATCGTTTCAAGATAAGCTGCTAATTCAGCTACACGTACGCCAGCGCTGATACCATCCTTATCCAGGACTTTAGAGCCGCACATAAAACCTATAGCTTCTTCATATGCAAATAAGACGTCCTTATTATCTTTCATTAATTCTATAGCTTTGTTGCCCATCCATTTAAAACCTGTTAAAGTTTCCTATAAAAAAATATTCCTATTTAAAATTTATTTCATATAATTTTTTTGCTGTGCACATATACATATTAAAATTACAAACCTCGAAATTAAAACCTTCCTTTTTACCCATTGAAGCTAAAATTTTGCTGGAAACAGTAGATGCTAACATATATGTTTTACTCAAATCAACATCAGGATGTATCACTTGATAAGTGTGAATCATCCACCAACCCAATAAGGCGCCAAGTTCATTTCCAGAGAAGACATGCCATTCCCCGCTATAAAAATCATCTAATGTATTCTCATTGTTCATCTATTACAGTTCAATCTAAATTTATTAAGAGTTCACGTACCTCTCCGTCTTCGTTGCACATGCAAGTCTATCAGCATCAGGATCGTTAGCGATTATTATAGACGAATCGTTTTTATTTGCTGTTTTTATGCTGAGATCCAAAGCGCTTTTTCCTTCCTCTGGATTCGGAAATTTCACCGTGGAAAATTCTGGATCTGGTAACTTTTGTTCCTCCACTGTTATAAATGGCTGAAAAAAAAAGACAATAGTATTCGTTTTTCAAAAATTGTATTTCTAACAGTCTCATATGTATATTCATACCTTAAAGTTTGCTGCCTCAAATGCAGCAGTCATATATTCTTGCCCAACACCATGCATAGCAGTGTACGTGAATTTTAATGTAGTATTTCTATTAACTTCAGGATACAAGACATTATCCTTCAAATCTTGATAATAATGCCGCATAATATCGTCTTTTGGATCTTTGTAATAGGAACTTTCATGGATTTGGCTTACATCCCATGAGGATTCAAGTGGTTTAAGATTATTAAGAATATAGCTTTGGATCTTTTTGTCATGCGGTGAAATGATTTGTGCCCCATTCTCCCAGTAAACTTTGTACCCATTGTCGTCCTTAGGATTATGAGAGGCAGTTACCATGATCCCGGCTGCACACTTATACTTCAAGATAGTGTAAGGTATAAATGGTGTAGGACAAACTTGGGAAAATAAATAAACTTTAATACCATTGGCTATGAAAATTGCAGCAGTTAATTCTGCAAACCTGAAAAATTAATAAATTCTCAATGAAAATTTTAATAACAGGATTAGAGTCTAATGTTTAAATTTTTTTATGAGTCCCAACTACTTTTCGGTATTATGATAACAGTACATTATAACTCACCTTTTACTGTTATAACGACCATCATAGCCTATCACAACACCTTTCTGCATAACATCGAATATTGTATCCATCAAATATTTCGATAATCCTTGACCAGTTTGCACAATGACTAAATCATTCATTTGGTTGTAACCTGGTCCCATACGACCTCTAAGACCTGCAGTTCCAAATTCGAGCCTCTTAAGAAACAACTTCGACAATACTTTAATCTGGCCTTTGTCCAAGTATTTCAATATCTCGTCTTTTGCTTTTGGATCCTGCAATATCAAGTACGAAAATTTTTAACTATAATATAAATGTAATTTAAATGCATTTGCAATATAAAAACCTATATCATATTAAAAATAAGATTATATATTACTAAATCTAACACAAATACTATTATATTATTATTTTATATTAGTTCAACAAATAAAATACTTTTCATTTAGTGACCCAAGTTGACTCAAAGATCATTATATCTTTCTTGATAATCAATGAGTAATAAAGATTGAATAATACTCGTATTGATACTTGTATGATCAAATATAAAGCATCCATAATACTTGTAATAAGTACCTTGTTCCATTGCAACCATTCAGTAATTTTATTATCCAAATGACTATCACCAGTGTTCACTGAACAGAGAGTCATTGTATCAGCAGTATTCAGATCCAAAGGCAAATCAGATACTTTCTAAATGAATCCAATCAATGTATTTATCAATACAACTTCTCCTTGCTAAGAAGAAGCGTCTTAATTATCCCTGTGTCCACAGCGAAATTCACTTTCTCTCAATTTTCTGTAATACATATGTAACAGAGTAGTATTGAGATTAGGGTTGTGCAATTGACGATAATTATTCAGATAAAACAGAGAGCGTCCTTGACATACAACTGATAACAGTAATACAAAATTTCTCCTTATCGTTATCTAATCTGTATCAATCGGAGTCGTCTCTTTGATGAACGGCGGTGAGAAAAAGAGTACCAAACGCGACCTGCCAGTTTGCTTCACGAAACGCCGACTTATAGGTTACGCGAGCGTCGCCGCGTATTTTCGCGGCGCGCATCTATTGTTATTTACATGAAATTATTTCGCCTTATCACGCGTCTGATCGAGAAGCTCAGAAAGATCACGCAGGATCAGTTTGAATTTACCTCCAATCTCAGATTGGCTACATCAAAGGACTTTTTTGCTGAAAACGCCAGGAACGTCCATCGATGAGGGAAGACACGGCGACGTCCGCGACAATAATGCATCCGTCGAATGTATACGCGCGCAGTTTTATCGTAAGGTGCGTATAGATATATTTGCACAATAAACAGAAAAGCCTTGAAATTTTTTTTCTTTAACTCAACCATGTGAAACACGGCGAATGAATGTTTTTGCAAGTTTCACATATATTATTATCGTCCGCTGCATGTCAATAAGATCAATCGTCACGATACAATCTCTCTACGGGTTTTTTTTTGAATAATCGATTAAAATCTTGGGCGTGACAAAGGCGACCGTGAACGGTGCGCAGTTGAATAAGCGATAAAAACATTAGATGTATCTAGTTCTTTCATTATATTGGATATAATGATAGATATGCTCGGCTTGAATAACATATATTCCACCATTGTGGATGCCAAAATATAATCTGAAATATCTGAATTAAACTCAGTCACGATTAACTTTGCTTTTCTTTTATAGAATTTCTATTTTTCATCCTTCTTTTTCTTTTCAATGTCTTACGTGACTATTTCAATTGCAGAAAGTGCGATGAAATTAGAGAACAGTAGAATTTTTTAGAATCAAACGACATGCGTATGTTAATGTAATATTTATTATATTATTCAATGAGTTTATTACTTACATATGTATTAGGAAATCCATTAGTTAATCTGACTTTTTAGCTTTTCTATTTAGTAGAATTTAATTATCTAGAATGAATTAAATCTTCTTATCTATAGAATAATTATTTAAATCAGGTCCAAATTACTGACTGTATTTATTGAAGATAATCAGCTCTGTGTAAATTTTTGTCTTTCATCTTTCTGGAGGCCTATTGTGTTTATCAGTTTTATTCTTTATAATTTTTTTTTATTCTTGCACTAGGCTGTAACTGTTCTAGAACTTTTCCGCTTTTGCAAAATACTAAACATATATTTATTTCGCTTTAAGTTTTAAAAGTGTAGATATATAGAAAAGTATACATACATACATACACTAATTCAGCTACAAAAAATAAATCTACGACTTCATTGGTCAACATCTCTTCGAGGAAAATTTTACTCATTATAATATAGTATGTTACATGTATTATATAATTATACATATTTCGAATAAAATTTTGTAAAACGTTTTGGAATATAGTCCTAGTAAATTTGTTCACTTTTGTAATTTTTGCTTTATTCAAGATACACAATTGACAAACAAATATATAAAAAGAGACTCGAAAGAATCTACCCAGCAAACGAGAATGGATTGAAACGAATTGAAATGGATTCAGATTTCCAGAAATATTGATTCACGAATGTTAAAATGAATGCATTTCAATTCTGAATGCATTTTTATTCATTTATAGGAATTGCATGGAGCATATCTCTATGCCTTTCAATCTAAAAATAATATTAGCTTTTTTTGTGCATTGTGAATACTGTTCAATTCAAAATTTTGAGTAGGAAATGCACTTTTTCAATCCAATTGCATCCAATTGAATCTAATTGAATCCAATTAAATCCAAAAAAGTATTCGCTATTTAAAATACGCATTCGGAGAAAAAAATTTCAATCCATTTTAATCCATTCTCATTTGCTGGGTATTAGTGAAGAATATAAAAAAGCCTATCAGAGCCTACATCAGTTATTCGGATGCACCGAAAACTTTTTATTTTCTTGTGAACGTAACAAAGCGAATAAAAATAAACGTTTTAACCCTTCAATTCGGGTCCTTATCAATATAAAATATAAATCGAAATTAAATAAGTAACGCAAATTTCAAGGTAATTCCAGACAATTTAGCTTGCTCTTT